TATTGTGCAGCTGCTGGAGTGCTGGTGGTTCTGGTTTAGTCTTTGTGAGGGATCATTCTATGAAAAATCAACCAGAACCTTCACGTGACCTCCTTGGAACCAGCTGGTTCTGTGTCTGCAGCACCTTTATCTACTGACCAGAGTCCTACCTTCAGACTGTGAATGTTCCAGAACCTTAAAGTCCATAGAGGAGGCTCCAGATTTATCACTTTAATGGACTTTTCCTGGTTTTCTATAATTTTAGATCATTTTCAAGTCATCTTTTGAAGCATCTTGGACACATTTTCTGTGATTCTGCAAATGTTTCTGTGAATTTTGATCATTTTTGAGTCGTTTTGGGCAAATTGTGCTTCAGTCTGGACATTTTTCATGTCATTCTAAGCAGCTTTTCAGTCAATATGGGTGATTTTTGAGCAAACTTGGACAACTTCTGAGTCATTTTAGACTATTTTGTATCATCCTGAACAAATGTTCTGTAATTCTGGATCATTTTAGAGTCATTCTGAACAAATCTTTAGTCAATTTTAATGGACTTTAATGGACTTTCTCCGTCATTTCTGAGCCTCAGAACTTCATCAGAACAGCAGACAGACACATGACATTTAGGAGGAAGACAGTCTGAAGGTGGAACTCCCATCATTAGATAAAGTTCCTGCAGATACAGAACCAGATGTTAATTTTCCTCCACAGACTCCGGACGGCTGCATCCTGTTTACTCCGAGGCGTCTTCACCACACATCCTAAAGCTCTTCGCCCTCTGAATCCTCTGCTGCTTTAATCTGTGCTTATCTGCCTATTAGCTTCCAGTGTGTTAGCGTCGCTTAAACGCTGATGCCGGAGAGCCGAGCATTATCCGCGACAGCTCCCTGAGTCAGGAGGGAGTCCTGATAATCCGGCCCTAAAGCTGCCTGATCCTCGGAGAAAACACCCGGACCGAGCTCACCTCTCAGGTTTTGCTGGCTTTGTTCCCCAGATAGAGGCGATGTTGTTGTTTGTGTGACTTTAAAATGAGAACATTAGTGTTTCTGTGTGCGATACCTAAAGCCGGAGCGCTGGCACTCCTGCAGCGAACTGAAGCCCGGCAGGGAAGAGCGAAGCAGAAGGGGAGCAAAGAGAAGGAGGCAGGTGGAGCACAGTTAGTCGACAAACAGTTTATCAACATTTACAGTTTGCTGCATTGTTGGTTTTAGTACGTTAACCCTGTAAACTCCAAGAAGCTTCTGTTTATTAATATAATGCTGCCACCTCCATGCTTGATGGCAGGTTTGGTGTTCTTGGGGTTGAAGGTCACATCTTCTCTAACCCTTATCTTTGTGGTGGGTAGGAGAAGAAACAATCATGTATTTTGGTTCT